ATTTTACATATTTCAATCTTTGTCAATCTAAAGTCGAATGTACAGTATGTCCTGGTCCCCGACCCTTTTAGGTTCATCACTTGGATAGGCTCATCTTCATAACACTTCTATGAATGGATACCTTGTTTGAAGCAAGAAACCAAGTTGTCTTTATCCAGTACCGCTCGTTTATTTATTCGTGTGGGAAACTTTTAACATAACTTTCACCACTATATATTTCCATATATTGTCATAAAGAATATCTGCCATGGTTTTTGGGAAGAATTTGCATTTTTTTAGAGGTCAACGACCTTTTGACCTTTAGATACGTCAATTTCTGCACACGTTTTAAATTTGAATGGCTGGAAAATCTACAGGCTACATGTTAATACCAACATCATGCAAATCTATCCAATAAATCATGAGTTATGAACCTAAATGTTAACCCCTATCCCAAACATCACCATTGATTACACAAGTAATCAAAAATGACAGTAATACATTTAATCAATTTATACATTTTTCTTGTTAATATCATTTTTGATATTCCATATGCTTATTAATAATGGAAAATACTAATTGATATCAACTCTACTCACAACTGTAGATTTGTAAACGTTTGTGAGTGAACTGGGAATAAATATACAACTTTTCTGTGTAGGTCAATAACCTTTTGACCTCTAGTTGCGTCAATTTCTGCCAATTTGAAAACTCTTTAAATTTGAATGACTGACCAATCTATAGGCTAAATGTTGATGCCAACATCATACATATCCATTGAGTAAATAAAGAGTTATGAGCATTTAATGTTATCCCCTACCCCAAAAACTGTTGTTGATTACAAATTCTAAGATTATAACAGAATGACAGTAGTACATTTAATCAATTTATACATTTTTCTTGATAATATCATTTTTTTATATTCCATATGCTTATTTATAATAGAAAATACTAATTGGTATCAAATCTACTCACAACTGTAGATTTGTAAACGTTTGTGAGTGAATTGGGAATAAATTTACAACTTTTCTGTGGAGGTCAATGACCTTTTGACCTCTAGCTACGTCAATTTTTGCCTGTTTCAAAATTTTTTCAATTTGAATGACAGACCAATCTATAGACTAAATGTTGATACCAACATCATACAAATCCATTGACTAAATCAAGAGTTATGAGCATAAATGTTATCCCCTACCCCAAAAACGGTTGCTTACAAATTTCCCGGATCATAAACATTGACAATAGTCCATAAATGCATTTTAATTTTTTCTTGTTAACCTCAATTTTTGTATTCCATATGTTAAAACTACAAGAAAAACACAATTTTTATCAAATACATCCAAAATTAGACATATATGACACTGAAGTTTATTGATATTTTATGAAAAAATTTGCATTTTAGAAAAAGGTCGATGACCCTTTGACCTCTAGTGACGTGAATGATTGTCGGATTAATTTTATTTAAACTGCATATGATTAAAAAACATATATGCTACAAATTGCTACAAAAATAACATTGATGGGATTTTTAATTCACAGGTTATGGGCATAAATTTTACCCCTCCCCCCCCCCAAAAAGTATTGACCATAAAACACTAACGACCATTACAAATGACGCGAGTACATACAATGCATCCAAGTTTTATTGATATTTTATGAAAAAATTTGCATTTTAGAAAAAGGTCGATGACCCTTTGACCTCTAGTGACGTGAATGATTGTCGGATTAATTTTATTTAAACTGCATATGATTAAAAAACATATATGCTACACATTGCTACCAAAATAACATTGATGAGATTTTTAATTCACAGGTTATGGGCATAAATGTTACCCCTCCCCCACCCCCAAAAAAAAGTATTGACCATAAAACACTAACGACCATTACAAATGACGCGAGTACATACAATGCATCCCTATATTTTTCTTGTTAACATCAATTTTTTCGTTTTATATGCCCGTAGGAACAAAATGATACCAAGGAAGTTTAACTGTGGGTGCACGGTGACCCCCCCCCCCTCCAGCTCGTGGCCTATATAGCGCCTCAGGGATTATTTTCGGGCGTTTAACACCGAACACTAAATTGACCCGGACACACACACGAACATGGCTTTCTTTTCGAGAATGGTTTAAATGGTCATGATTTGTTAAGATATCATCCTCATCATTATGTATAGGCCCTACATTATATAGGCCTACGCAAAACCGCTGAATTGAAGAATCCAAATTTATTCTTGCATATAATAAAATGTTCAGAAAACACATGGGAAATACGGTACCACGTCTCCTTCTTTTATTAATTTATTTTCATACTTTTTTGTCTGTGCCTAATTGCCATGCCCCCTCCTAAGCTTGATTAAGGTATAGTACGAACCCGAGGAATTTGTTTTATTTATTTATTTTTATATTTTATTGAAATGTGTGTTTTTGTACAGTTTGTCTTTTATCTTCTTTTTATTGAATAAAAGTGGTTAAAATAAAACTTAGCATCTTCTTTTTACAAGGCTTGGCACTTAACATAAATAATTACATATTTCCTTTTTTTGTTCATGTTTATGTTAAACGCATAGTGGTATAATTAATATGCATGCGCTCTATTGTTGTTGAAATCGATGTACAGTATTCATCGTTCATCAATATTGACGTGATCGTTTTTATCTGACGCGGGTTGACGCGAGTTGACTGTTGGAAGCAACGTGTTTTCTTTAAAAAATGGCGGCTGTCGGATCATTGGAAGAAGAAGCTCGAAAAAGGAAGGAAAGGTTAAAGGCGTTAAAAAAGAGACAGCAAGGAAATGTTAGCTAATATATTATTTTTTAACATTTCTCTCGTATATTTATCCAATTTCTATTTGAAATACCATAATATTAATCCCAATGGCGGGGGCTAGGCCCTGTTCGAAGCCTAGGACCTAGCCTAGGGCCTAGGCCCTAGCCAGGTCAACCTAGGCTAGGCCTAGGGCGGCCTACTTTCGAATCATGTTTGTTGTCGGTCTAGGCTAGCCTACAGACGATCGGACCCTTTGGATAATCTACTCTAGGCCCAGTTCAGGGCCTACAGTAAACTAGTTTGGGCCGTTTCAGATGGCATATTTATGGAGGCCCTGTGTGTGTGGCTAGCTACTACTAACTACTACTTAGGCCTAGGCGGCGCTAATGCACTTTCGCACCTAACTTTTAATTCTTAATTTTTTTTACCTTAATTTTCTACTCAAAGTCACAACACATAATTATAAAACATTTTTACATGATTCTCGAAATAACAACACCCTGATCGAACCGACGTTTATCATTGGCTTTGTTTTTCTGGATTTAGGCCTAGGCCCAGGCCCTATTTTTCGATCTGTGTAAGCATTTGGATCATTACTAATTTTTGAAGTAATTATTGTATGTGTGAATTTCATGTGACCACACATAGTCAAACAACAGCACCATACAATATAAAGAATGACATACAAACGGCAAATAGATAAGTTTTCATAAACGTTTAATAAAAAAACTTCACGCTGCAAACTCAGACATTCTGGCAATTTCTTACTGATTGCAAAATGGCAGCCGCTCGTCGTGCTAGTGTCATGAACATAGATTCGCTGTACTTATTTGTGGGCTTATTTGTTGAAAAAGGTACTTTGTGAGTGGTTAAATTATGTGAACATGTTTGTTAATTATATGTTATGACTGTGAGAAAAACATTGAGGTAAAAATATTAAGAATTAAAGTTCTGGCAATTTCTTACTAATTGCAAAATGGCAGCCGCTCGTCATGCTAGCGAACACAGATTCGCTGTACAGTACTTATTTGTGGGCTTTAATTTGTTGAAAAAGGTACTTTGTGAGTGGTTAAATCATGTGAACATGTTTGTTAATTATATGTTGTGACTGTGAGAAGAACGTTGAGGTAAAAAATTAAGAATTAAAACTTAGGTGCGAAAGTGCATTAGCACCGGCCTAGGCTAGGCCTAGATATTATTACGACTGTAGCTGTACTGTATAATGTAGTAGGCCTAAGCCTAATATTACTCTGTTATTTTAGACTTTAACTTGAATTTACCCTGAAACTGAATCTTGAATTGAAAAAAGTATCATTTTTTATTTATTTGGGCCTCAAAATGTTTCAAAATGGCAATGTCAACTACAAAAACGGCAATAGGCATAGACCAAAACGGCAAAGGAGCAAAAGTCAATGTCAAGACTGAAGCGCCACCGGGCCAGGGCAGCAGTTTATAATTTTCTGAATCTAAAATTTAAATGGATATTTTATTATTTTGTAGAATGAAGGTGACATTGCTGAGCCAAAAGCTAAGCACTTTGCTGAAGAAGATGCAGATTCTGAAATTATGTAAGATACTGTACTGCCAACATCACTCCTATACAATACCATCCATGTTTGTTTATTAATTTAAGTTACAGAACAAATAACTGCTACCAGTTAACAAACAAATATTGTACATACTGTAGTTCCCTTCTGTCTGCCAATAAAGGACAAATGTGAAATGCAAACAAATTAATTTTAATGTATAGTACAGTATATGACTACTTTTTGGTTGTGTGGTTAGAGTTACCTTTGTTTTGAAGGCTGGGTTACTAGTGGTTTTTGTTAGAGTTGCGATGATTTTGGTTGTTATATTTTTATTGTTGGTGTGTTTCTATATTTTTTGTGTGTGGTTTTAGGTTGCTGTTGTGTTGGTTGTTGTTGGGTTGTTGGTTTTGTTTGCTCTGGAGTTGGCGTGGATGGAGTTGCTGTGGTGCCAGTCCTATGTTAAGAGTTGATGTTGTTGGAGTTGCTATGGTTTTGATTGCTGTTAGCCTGGTTGTGGTTTCAGTTGCTGTAGTTTTAGTTGCTGTGGTTTTATTAATTTTGTTTTTAAGCATTGTGGTTTTTGCTAGTATTTATCAGAATCACCTAATCAAAACAGTACTGTGATTGTTTTTTTTATGTTTGTTTTACAGAAAGCCTGTATTCAAAAACTACCAACCTGCAGATGAGGTACTATTGGAGAACAAGTTAGCAGACCCAGCCTTACCCTCTGGTACATTCTATATTTTGTCTTGATTATATTCTGTTTTGACTATTAAACTGGTAACTAGTTTTTAAAAAAATAAACAATTTTGTATAGTACATTTCACCACAATGAGAAAAATCGAGAATAAACATGATTGACAGCTGATTTCTCATGGATGAATTAATACCAATGATTCACATAGATTTTTAACTTATCCAATGTAGTGATGGTTGGTATCATTGAGACACTATTTGACAACCAATTTGTAACAGTGCAACAATCAGACTGGGATATCTACAACACAAGTTACCTTTTTCACAATCCAATAACTTGTAGTATGCTGCACTTTCTAATATTCGACTCTCTTAAATAACTAGGCACTAATTTTTCCAAAATTTTCGTCTGAAAGTTATTTGGTCATTCACGGTGTTTTTTTCATTGTCTAGTTGAAGAACATATTGCAGATCAATTATCAGCTGGAAAGCCTGTGCCAGTGGTGCAAGAAGTTGATATAATGAACTTAGCTCCCAGAAAACCAGATTGGTAAGAACACTTCAATTGCCTCAAAATGCATGAAAATGAACTAACTAATCCCTTTCTGTGTACAGTGAAACTTCCAGTTTACGTAGCCCTTGGTAGCAAGGGGTATTCGTAAATTGAAAAATTTGTGAACTAGATCAGGTGTCAGTTTCCATTACCTTGGCCAAGCTATCCTCTGCCATTGAGCGGCGATAGGCTGATGTGGTCTACTGCACTTGAGCCTAGCAGAAATTACCTTCGATAAAAACCAAATTATTGTAATCGCTGTCATTCTTCCGTTTAACAAAATACAGTATTGTTTTAATTCTTATTAAAACATCTGTATGTTTTAAGGTCCTTTTGGTTGTGTTCTTTCTAGTTTTTAGATCACTGAATTGTGTTGTTTACATGCATTTCACGATCATCTATCCTCTTCACGATGTCTATAAAGTTGTTGACGCACTTGTTATGTGCACTCAATATGGGTTGGTTGGTAGTTTGTTGTTTTGGCATAATAACTCCCTGGTTTTGGTTAGGTTTATTACATTATAATATTTATTATATATCACTATATTATAGTGATTATTATAGCAGAAATGGAAGAAAAGATTGAACTGTTAATTTAAATAAATACAACAAACCTGATTTTGTTATGAAAAATTTACATTATCACTTTGAAAAACATGCGCAATCAGACTTTTTAATGTTAATAATTTGTCGATGATGACGTCATCAGCAGCAGCAAAGACCATTCGTAAAATCGACTATTCGAAAATTTGACGTTCGTAAAACGAACATTTTGTTGTATGTGTTTAGTTTTATAGTGTGTAGTGTTTCTTCAAGGGATTGCTACCTCAGACTGCTGTCCACACCATCAAATCTGTGATTTACCATATACGGGTATGATATTGTCATTTCACACCCATATAATGTGCAAATCAGAGGTACTTTTCACATAAAAACTTGATAGTGTAAATAGATCTTAAGACTGATGTATTTGTTTTTGGCAATGACTTGCCCATGTATCAAATAAAATCAACATTAATAATTGATGATTTTGAATTATTCGTTATAAGGGATTTAAAACGTGATGTTGCAAAGAAACTTCAGCGATTAGAAAGAAGAACGCAAAGGGCCATAGCAGAATTGATACGTAAGTACTATTCACATGTTGAGTATGTGGTTCTTTTATTTTGTGTTTCAAGTTTGTTTGCTTTGTTTGTCGGTCACAAAGTGTTCAATATTGACTAGGCAATTTGAAGATAGAAATGCGTTATACCTATATTATATTAATTACAACATTATATTGTTATCTTCTATGATAATGACAGTGCTGCTGTTTGCTCGCTTCAAATTGTATAGTTTTAAAAGCAGTATCCTACTAATGATAACGTCAAATCAATGCCTGCCAAATGTCTTTAAAAAGATGGCTGTTTGTACAAGTAGCAGTAGTATACACTTTGTCTTAATATCAAGTTTTTTGTTTGGAGTTCTTTGAAAGCATGATTTACAAGATTGCTACAGTTCCATTTTGTAATTTATCCCGAAACCTGTAATAAGTGTCAACATTACTATTGCACCATTTTCATTTTTTTTCTTGCTTATTTTATTTTTCACTTTTTTTCAGGTGAAAGAATTCAGTCTGGACAGGAAGATTTATCTACAGTTGCTAGCCTCAATACAGCCACTAACCAACAGAATGATTCAGACTCTGATTGAACATCCTGTGATGTAAAGAAAAATTCAAAACATAATGCTGGGGCTACGTAGTCCATCATTTATATGATGGTTGGTTATGAATAATGATACTAATGCAAGCATTTTTTATGTGAACCAAGTGGATATCTCCTTTTCGAGAGCAAAACCAGCCCCGGTGTTACGAACTTCTAAACTGAAGACGATATCTAGACCAGCGTTCCGCAAACTTTTTACTTCACAGCCTATTTACGATTCCAGGCACCAAGCCGCGGCCCAGCAGCCCAGCTGCGCCTGGGACCGACATACCAAATCGTGGAAAGAACTTTTGATCATGAAGCCTCCATGTATATACAATATTTTGACATCATTATCTGTTCTCTCACTGATAAAATTTCATTTTATACAAATTAAATATTATTTTATTAAATAAATAATACCGTACATTTGTGTTCCCCCCCCCCCCACAATTGTTGATTGTTTTTTTGGGGTTTTTTTTAACAATATTTTGACATCATTATCTGTTCTCTCACTGATAAAATTTCATTTTATACAAATTAAATATTATTTTATTAAATAAATAATACCGTACATTTGTGTTCCCCCCCTTTTTTACCATGATTCAACCAGGGATCAACCAAACACGGTTCAGCTACACACGTCATAGCTTTCTCTTTCTTCCAAAAACTTTTACGCACACTGTTACTTCGCAACTTTGAAAGACTACCTTACTATACAGGTATTATGTTTAGTAATCCACATGGGCATTCGGTTATCAAAAAATGTGTGGTGTTGTTTACTGTAGTGATCTTTCTAGGACAAGTCTTATATTTATTTTTATCTTTAGCTCATGACTCATCCCATCATTCCTCCATACCGGATTTACTCGATTTACAGGGTTAATACTAAATGATAACATAGTGTCTAGTTCCCGAGAGGGCATAGACACAAAAACCGCTTATTATAACTCAAATAGAATGCATCATCTGGCACTTTAGCAGCGTGTGCAAGGGACGCATTCGCTGTAACAATGAAGCGGCTTTACTAAAAACTATTTTCTCCATGATGAAACGTCTCTTTGTTATTTTTTGTTCAATTTCCAGACGGCTTCGCGGCCCTCCAAAAATGTTTCACAGCCCAAATGTGGGCTGCGGACCATGGTTAGTCATAGTCATAACAAGGACAGGATTGGATTGGACTGGATTTATTCGGTGTAATCACCAAGGATAACCCTCAAAAGCAGAAGGGCCCATCGTAGAGAACATTATATTTTGTACTCATCCAAAGCCAATTAACTTAAACGCTCATATACAATGTACAAACTAAGTTTCAAGATGATAATTTGAGCTGTTTTTTGTGGCAAATTTAGTAAAAACATCATGGTAGTGTATTTACATGATTTTTAACTCTAGGATTGGAAGGCAAGTAGGCTACAGCTCACTTCAATAATAGAATACAACATTCATATTCACTTTATTGTTTTTGCTGGAATGTTTTTCTTTTACAAAGCAGTTAAAAAAATTTAAACAGTTGATATCACAGATAATGAACAACTAATTTTAAAAGTACTGTAAAACCTCGAATTTTTTTTTTTTTTTTTTTTTTTTTTTTTTTTGTAGAAAATTTATTTTTTTTTTTTTGGCGAGAATTAGATTGGCTTTTTTTCGAGGCTACTTTTGGAAAGTAAAAAGGGGGCTTTTTTTCAAAATGAATCCTGTAAATTTTGTGAATTTGTACTATAAATCAATAAATAAGGCCTTTGTAACATCAATCTGTATCTTGGAGTGTATTCAACTGGCATTAAATCAGCTAAACTACTGTATGAACCAAGCTTGTTTTTATTTTATTTTGTTTTTTCAAATTCATGTACAGTGTATGTATTGTACTACTGTATCTCGGAAAGAAGCCTTTGCTATCTTAAAAAGAAGCCCATAGGCTTCTTTTCGAGGAAAATTTTGCAAACTAAACAGGGTGGCTTCTATTCGAGATGGGCTTCATCTCGAGATTAAGCCTACTGGGCTTTAATTCGAGGTTTTACAGTACACTATCTGTGGTAGATTATCAAGAGAAAAGAAAACTTTGAAAGATCAATACAATTTTTTCATTATTCATCAAATTCAAGGATAATAAAAGGATGAAATGGACCTCCAAGAAACTCCAGGGAGCTTGTAAATAGGAGGGGCTTATCGAACTAAAGCAATTGAGACAAAATCTAAGGGGAAAGGAACTAACCTAATAAATATATAAATAGATTTAATAAACAAAAGCTAATCTAACAGTCAAGGGATAAAAGTTAAAATTCAAGTCAATTATAACATTCAATTGTTATTTCAAAAAGGGTTATGTAAGTTATTATCTTCCAATGACACAGTTCAAACTATTAAGATACTGTATTGATAATATAGATGTGTACTATAATCCTTAACTTGTCTGCCAGATGCCGTCAAAGCTCTAATTTTGGAGGTTTTGCATACTATAAGCGAAAACTCCGAGATTGGAGTTTTCAAGCTTTTAATCAACCCATCGATTTCGGAGTTTTGCTTACTAAACAAGCTCTTGATACCCCGAAATCGGAGTTTCAAAACTTGTAATCAACCCTCCAATTTCGGAGTTTTTTGCGTACTATTATTTAAACAATCTCTCACTATAGAATATAGAGATAGCAATTCTAATTAATAGGCCTAATACGCATAAACTCCGAGGTCGGAGGGTTGATTAAAAGTTTGGAAACTTCAATTTCGGAGTTTTCGCGTATAGTACGCAGAACCTCTGAAATCGGAGTTGTGGCAGCAGGCGTAGACATACCAAAAATGGAGTATAACTACATACAGGAACATTATTAATTAGCTACTTAAATATACATATTAATCAGATCAGATGTTGAATGTTATTGACGTTTATAACAACACAAAAAGAATATACTGTGTGTATTAAATGTGTTCTTGGCTATCATGCATTTCTGGTGTACTGTATTTTTATTCATTTCTAAACTTCTATAAACAAATACAATCCATAAATTGCATTCACATTTAACACTCCCTTATTTCATTCTGACCTCGGTGAACTTTTCATTTTTTACATATTGCACTGTTAATAATAATAATTAACAATAATAGATTGTATTCATGTATTGGGCAACTTTCTTAATAGATTTATCAGTTTTGTACTGGGACATATATCTTGCCTTGTTTTTATATATTGCACCTGTGAATAATATTAATTTACATTTTCATTAATTTAATTAACATTTAATGAAATGAACGAATAGGAAAGAAGTATTCAAACGTTAAGGAATCCTATATAAATTTAGCAATTTTTTTTGTCAACGTGCATATCTCGATGTCAATGGCGAGACAGTGCTTCCATGCAAGCGTGTAGCCTTTGGTTTTCTTGGTGTTGACGAAGCAACGCTTGATGATGATAACTGCTCCTCGACTGATGACGCATCTTTCATCGAGTTATGCGGTGATAAACCTTGCCTATTCTTCCTCGATCTTGGTCTGTAAGTAGGCGTCTGTCGATTTTTAACATTAGCACGGGGTACGACATTGTCCGCCCAAGCCTGGGCACTGAAATTTATCCTTGGGAAGGCATTTTGTACGAACTGAATTTGATCACTATCACTTGATCGGCTGAGCGACCTATTAATGGACGTTCGGCGCTTGGTATTTGTCTTCTTTTCACGGAAGATATCTGCGATCATGTTGTTTTTGAAGATGTTCCACTTGCTTTGTTTTACGAATCTACTCCAGAGATAGCTGTCGGAAGGATATGTTGCAATCATCTCCTCAACCTTCGCCAAAGTCTCTTCGTCTGCATACTCCTTGAATTTTGACAAAGAAACCCGAACGATCTCACTGCCACAGCTGACCAATGAGAGATGCGACATGCTACCAGTTACGCCTTCGATTCCCTGCAATGATGTCACATAAATTTATCAGTAAACTTAAGCCTTACACTGTTAGTTGTTAACATCCATTTAAGTTGAAACTTCAAAAAATCGGTAACATTATTTACAACAATTATAACTTACAAAGCACTGGCCTGATCTTAACTCGTCGATTTTGATGTATACCCCAGCTTCAACATCCTCTGTTTTGAATGTCTGAACCCCGTATGTTTTTGGAGAACTTGAAGTCGACACACCAGAGTATGAAGATCTATAATAATCATAAGTTGCAGTTGAAATTGGAGATGATAATACAATTTGATATAGCGCATTCCCCCCATAGTTTAAAGACGCTTTGTTTTTGGTCATATGATAGCGTATGCACGCAAGTGCCAACAGCTTCAAAATTTGTGGAACTCGTGTAGTTTTAATTAACCTTATCTTTTTAAATAATAATCACATCTTTTCTATATAAATTGTAATTTAATGGGAAAAATTTTATTTATACAATTTTAAATATTTAAATTTGTTTACTATTTCAATTTGGAGAGCCTCTCGACTGTCATTTTATTTACAACATTTAGGCAATCCTACTTGATGTACTCTTGTTTTCGTCTTCTGTTCTGCGTCACTAAACCTGCACACATTTCTCTCATCCGCCCCCCCCCCCAATCAGTTCCCCCTCATCGTCAACTACTGTACCATTGCTTATCAAACAGGTAATCTAAACCGTGGCATATGCGTAGGGGGTCTGTAACCAGAGGTTCTTGGATCAAATTCCGTCAAAATTATGATTCGATTAAATAGCACCTAAAACACTCTAGGCTATTCTTACATTTTTTAACCTCATGAGGGAATCGTCAGCGGGGAAAAACTCATGACGTCTTAGATGATATTGATAAGTATCCAAATCGTGGGATTAAGGTACGGTAATCAAGTATATGTCTCAAATGCCATTGACTATCAGATGATGTTTCGTTCCACACCCCTATATTACAGTTGACATGGAATTGGGTAACTAGATTCAATAGAATGAAGTACGGTACCTTCTTATCCCGGTGGATTTGGGTAACGAGTTAGATAATGACCTGTTATCGAATTCCGATATCGTACTTTCCACCACTGACGACGTTTCAAATCGGACGGTAGCACTTCGAGGCCGAGATTCCTGTAGTTCCGATTCCTTTCCATTCTTTAAAGCTAACTGACCTGAAAAAATATACTTTCTTTTAATTTTAACTACAATCGGAAGAAGACGATGTTGGCCTTTGTCTTGCAACATCAGGTCTTACAAAATTATAACAATGGACGGAATTATGAAGACGACAATGAGACTGATGACGAAGATAAGGATGAAGTTGATGCTGATGATGGTGTTTGGTGACGGTATAATAATAATAATAATAATAATAATAATAATAATAACAATGACAATAACAATAATAATAATAACACTAATAACTTTAAGTCACAATAAAAATATACTACCAAAAGCTAATTAATCAATTCCTTTCACAATGAAACACAAAAGGGTACCACATGTCTCAAATGTTGGAGAATGGTGCAGTGATATTTGGTTCCAGTGGTGGCACTACGGGGGAGGGGAGGGGGCTAGGCAGAACTATGGCCTTCCTCCCCCCCCCCCCCGGTCGGGGAGAAAAAGCACAATTCATCGGGAGAAAATAAAATTCAAAAAAAATATATGTATGTTGTACATATTAATACTCAAAATCTATTAAATAAGCCTTTGAAACCCCTAAATGTTCATATTTTCGGGGGTCTACGTCCCCTAAACCACTTTCGAAAATGTTTTTAGCGCCCGACCACGCCCACTTTTTGTCTCTTCGGGGCCACTGTTTGGTTCGTGCCTAATTTGATTACTTTGGTAAATGGGTTAGTTAAAGGCTATTAATTTAGCGCAGTTAGTGATTTAGTTTTTTTCTGCTCATGGGCCAATCGTGCACATTAAATCCAAGTCATATCTTATTGTCTATTACTGGAGATAATTCCAGTAGGCTAATTGGCCTAATTGAAGTACCTACCCGTTGTTTTAGGTCTGTTTGCAGGCATTGAGCTATGTGTAATCCATGGCGACGTTGAAGAATACGGACCAGGCCATCCTCTGCCCCCCGGGTCCGGAATGACGTCAGATTTGCTTAAAAGAGATAACGGAACATCTCCACCATACGACACTGGGGTTGGTGATCGTATTGGCATAGACTTACTCCTGCTGTCGTTATCGATCGGTGTGGTTACGCATTTCGCAACGTCAACTAATTTCAAGACGTCGCATTTCCCCTATGATAATGAAATACAATCAATCAAATTGCCTAATTACAAACACATAGAATTGTTGTGATTATTTGAATTAAAAATTTACAGTGAACAAAAAACAATCAACTTCACGATATAGGCGTACTTAGACCTAGTTAGTTAGTGATACCTCCATGGTTAGTGCCACTAACACTCATTAAAGTAGGCCTATATCGAATGTAACGGTACTTAGACCTACACATGTTTAAAACAGTACAGCTGACGAAAACTAACCTAGACGTGTTTGCATTAAAAAATTCCTAAAGTATCGTAACGCTTATGTTTTAATGAAAAGAGTTGGGTTTTTTATTTACTGAAATATCAAAGAGTGTCACATTCCAATTAGGCCTAATTAATAAGCAAAGGCCTAATTATAAAATTCAGACAAAACAAGCAAAACATTAATGATTTAAACCATAAAGATGTACCTTGACACGAGAAAGTTTACCCTGTAAAAATAAATATACTGTAGAAACATCGCTTCAGCAGAAACCCACACAATCGGACACCATCAGCACAGTCCCTCCGCCCCTCCTTCTTACATCTGGCGGACCTACCTTTGTAACAAACAGAAGCCAGCCAATGTCCCGCAGGTCCTTCACGACTACGGCATCATGATTGTATTCCTCGATTCTACCCATGTCACTAATCTCTTGTAACTTCTCATCGGACCACGTTGAAAATAAATCGAGTTTCCTACAAATCAACTCCAGAGGGTCAATATCATCTTTAATTTTTTGTATATACAGTACTCAAGTGGAAATTTCAGAAAAAATAAACATTTTTTCTTTATTTTTATTATGCTGCCTAGAAATCTCCAAATATAAGATAGGCCTATGTATATTTCTTCCTAATTATATAAATTTGAAGCATTTCATCATCCTTTTTTACATTCCCCAATAAAATTTTATTTTTATTTTCTCCTCCGTCTGGATGATTTTGGCAAAACAATTTGCTAAATAAGAAAAAAAAAATTAATTTTTATCTTTATTCAGCCCCCACCCTCCGATAATCTTTTAAAAAAAATAAGTACGCGAAACAAGGAATAAAAAAAGTCTCGCCTTAATAGCAAAAAAAATAGACACTACCTATTTATTCTTAAATAAATATTATATTTTGCTTTATTATAATTATTAGAGCATTATTATTACCGTATTGCTATTAAAAACAAAATACATTTTTACAACTATACTTAAGTCTATATACAGTACCGGTAAGGTTATCATTCGGGGTATATACTGTAATCTGCTCGGTAATTAGTGGAGCCTAGTATGTGTAAAAATCTATTCACGACCTCTACTAACAACATAGGCCTCTAAATATAACGCATCAGTGTGTATAATAATTATTGTTAAGAGCCTCCATACAACACTATAGGAAATTCAAGATACGCAGACACCACTACGCACGTACCGATGAACGAAAATACTGTACCATCAACGAGTTCCCGCGGTTGTGGTCAAGCCTACCAAATGAACTCAAAGACTCTGTAGTACTGGACAATTTTAATGTAATTACAGCGAAATCGTAAGAACATTATATAACCAAAATCTAATTTATACATTAATTTTTTTCTCTCTATACCGCTATTTTAATATTTCTGTGTTAATTGATCTTCACGATCTGTTTTATGTAAAAACTCTGATAGCACTTTTCTTCCAAATATCTAGCTTATTGAACTGTATACGTTTGTTAGTTTTTTGTATACGTAGGCCTATGTATATATGTGCGCATATGTGTATATGAATATATATATATGTATATATATATATATATATATATATATGAATATAGATATTTGTATAATGTTTTTTTTTTCTCAATCTTATTTTAATTAAATTTCTTTGTTATGCAATTAACCTAAAATTTAGTCGCATCATTCTAGTTATTGGCGAATTCTGAGAATTATATTTCATATCATATAATTCGATATATTGTGTTAACTTATTTTTGTTTTTCTAGGAATGGGTTGAACAAGCTTATGAGCTACAGCGATTTTAATTGCCTGTGTTATTCCCTGCCTCCTTAGGTTTACTGTTTTTTTCGTTTACTTTTCTGTAGGTACCAATTGTATTGTGATTTTTATGAAAGGCAAATTAAGAATGAACGAATGAATGAATGAATGAAGGTCCCTGTCTAGGGGGGCCTTTTACTGCTTATTGTTACTACATGCTGTTTTTAGTGTATACAATACTTGAATGATAAGGAGAGGCTATTCTATATTGTTCTAACGGTATTGATGTTATTGGTTTTTGAAGATTATAGGCATCCATCACCTTTTATTCTAAACTGATGTAGACTTGTAAATCAGTTTTAAATGTCATATGTTAAACTGAGAAGTCTAAAATCTTTGGAATTAATAATTTTGTAAATTCTGCAGATCATTGTATGAAAGCACACTTCTTACAATGAAGGTACTCTTTGCTCTTACCATGCATTTATTGAGTCGTATGAAGGAGCAACACGTTCTAATAAGAATAAATTACTTAAATGCGCAAACACTGCATGTCAAAGATTTTTTTTATTTGCATCGGATATTAAAATTGGCAATGAAATGTCTTTTGAATAGGAATCAGCTTTTGTTATTTATATGGTTTGTCTGATTCGTTCGTTGAATGTGCTCGGAGAAGCATTTCACAGTACTATGTAACAATAAATAAACGAACGGAATTTAATTGAAAATTGAATTGATGAGCTTTGCATTACGATCAGTATATTAATTTTGAAATGAATGATACCGGTTAAATATGCATAAGCTTTTATTATTTATTTTTGTCTGATTCGTTCATCGAATGTGAGTGGAGAAGCACTTCACAGTACTATGTACGAACTGAATTTAGTTGAATTGATGAGCTTTGCATTACATTAGTATATATATTTTGAATATATGATACCGGCTAATTCAACTTTCACATGAAGTGTTGGAAATAGAGTGGTTTAGGTCTATAAAGCATTGCATATGTGTTGTCTCTTATACACATCT